AAGTTGTTGTTTCTTCTACTATACGTTCCTATTATTTCAAGAGGATAACCACCCATTCACTCTCACACACCCCAGAGTTGGACAAGACACAGGAGGTCTTCCTGTCAAATGCCCCCCAGGACCCTGAAATCAAATTGGCCCTGCCCACGCGTCCCCAGAGCAGGTTCCAGCACCAGCTGTTCCAAGGGGCTCTCGCTTCTGTCCTGTCCTTCCCACGCCCACAGCCACCAGTGACATTTTATGCCTGTATCATATAGTGCCGGATGACAGGGCTAACTTGCAACTGATTTCCCCATCTCTAGTCACGTGGGGTGGGCTAGTCCCCACCCCAGCTCGGACCCATCCTGCTCACAAACCAGCCACTTCGGTTTCCTTTCATCCTGTCATTCCTCTGATCACAAAAGGCCGTGGTGTCTCTCAGGGGTGCGTGGGCAACAGCCAGACACCGCAGTTTAGCAGGCAGGGCTGTTGCATGGATGGGACTCACCCCCGACTCTGTCTCCTGTCACTCCCCTCCCCCACTCTGCACTCCAGGCAGGCCAGCCGCCTCCCTGGAGGAGGACTCCCATGGCTACAACCTTTCTTCCCACTCCTCCCTCCCCGAGTGCCCTCCTGAAGCCTCTCCTGACCCTTTCGTATCCCCCTGCTCTGCACAACTTGCCCTGGCACTGCTGTGCACGAGAGCTTCTGCCGCCTCTGAGCACTGATGGGAAGTACTGATAGGGAACATCTGCCATGATGGGAGGCTCCCAGCTCTGCTACTGTCTCCTCGCTGGCACACAGCTGGCCTTTCCAAGCAGAACACAAAGTCAAGGACGAGGACGGTGTCTGTTTTTCTGCTGCTTAAAACACACAACTTTATTGATGACACACAAGCCTTATATTAAGAAACTTAAACCAATACAAAATGTAGCTTTTTCAAGAGGTATAATTGGTTCACTGTTAAACTTTAAGTACAGGAGAGAGTAAAAATATCTCAATCTAGGTAGCAAGATCAACATCATTAAATGATTTATTTCTACAAGCCATAATATTCTTTTAGCATCCTCAAAATGGGTCCAGCCTAACTCTCCACCATCAGAAGCAGCATCAATCACTGTTGATGATGTGTGATATTCATTATTCCAAAATAGCAGTTCAAAGCATCTCTTCGCCATATCAGCACAGTGAAAAACAAAGCATGTACAAAATATATGGATCCCAAGTGCAAACTAAGAAATTACCCTAGCACTGCCTGGGATGCATCCAAAATTACAGTTTGGTTAACACTTTCAGGACTTTGACTTTCACCACAAGATCACTGTGATTTGCTAAGGCTCTGATTTTCTTCACACACACTCCAGACTCTTTGAATAAGAAGAAAAGTGAATTTCTGCTGAATTCTTTCCTGGATGATGCAAGCCCTTCACTTTTTATATTGTCATTTATATTCTCGAAAAGAGTAAGGATATTAAGAAGAATCTCTCGATCCCACTCCTTATTAAAGAGGGAAATCAGTTCTGATGGAACTTTACAACTGACCAGCTCTCTTGTCATGGCTGGATTTTCAGTAAAGTTTATAATTAGTTTCATTATCTGTATCTTGGTGAAGTGATTTCCCAGGAATAACAAAGCAAAAAAGTCGGGAAAGGAATAGGAAAGTAAATGTTGGTAATGATTGGTCACAGTCATATTGGTTAGTAGTCTTAATCCAGCCATCTGCACAGCTGAGTCCAAGCGACAGACCATGGTGTCATCGCACACTTGACTGATATACGTCTTAATCTTGCCCTGATTTTCGGCATTCACACTCAGGTTATTAAGGGCATTGTAAGTCTTTTCCCTAATGATGGGGTCTTTCGTTTTTATCAGTTTTGCAATAATTGGGACACCACCCAATTCGCGGATTGCATTTTGGTTAAATGAATATGCTGCATTGTTACCCAGAGTGACCAAGGCGACTTCTTGAATAAAAGGATCATTTGTTCTCTCCAGGATGTTGAGGACCTTTTGAAGGTCAGGAGTACTCAGAATATCATCGATTTTATAGGGAAAGTTGAACTTGCCTCTACGGACAGGCCAAGTTGTAGCTGGAGCCTTGGTGCTCTTACTTCGGGTCTTTCCTTTGGATTTTCCACTTGCTCTGCTCCCAGATCTACCTCCACTCTTGGGAGGGTGGCAGCCTCCACCCCTGCCACCTGGACAGGGCAAACTCGGTGCAAGGGTCCTATTCCCAGAGATGCTACCCACCCGGGCCCCTTTGCCCAGCTTTGCACTTGCCTGTTCCTTTAGGGTGTTGAAAAGAGCCTTGGCCTTGGCTTCTAGGCCACCTCCGCTCTGGGATCCCAACTGTGCCTCCTTCTTTACAGCTGGGCCACTCTCGAGTTCAAGGCTCACCTCGGCCTCAGCCTTTGACTCACCCTGAAGTTTGGCTACAGGCTCCTCCCCAACGGCATCGCTGGCTACTATCTCAGGCTCAACCCCAGTCTCTGACGTGTCACTACACTCCTCATCGTCATCCCAGGCTTTCTCATATTCATCTTTTCCCCAGGTCAGTTTGTATACACAGTAGCAGGCACCAGCCCCGATGACCACACCCGCGGCCACGCAGCCAGCTTCCCGAGTGCGGCCCATGGTAGAGCTGGGGTGAGTCTCTTAACGCTGGCACAGAGCACGTTTGCTCTGGCCCAGAAGAATGAGCTCACGTTGGGGGACGGGGTGGGTGGGGCGCGGGGCAGAGTCCTCAGCTACCGCTGTCGGGCTCTGCTGCAGCTGCGATACAGCAGGACCTAGGAATAAAGGAAAGACTTCAGGCTTCAGGCTCCTCCTACTTTTGTGCCTTTACAAGCAGACAGAATGAACTAGTGACCTATAAACATGTGGGGATGCTGGCAGGGACCCAGGGTGTCTTTGGTATCTGGATCACTGGCTCCTTCCCTCCAATGAGAAGCTAATTGTGGAAATTCTCCCCACCTTCAGATTCTCCAACCTCATGCCCCACTGCCCCACCCCAGCATGGTACATTTAAAGCATCTGATCAGCTCCTTACCACTGCAGGTCTTCCAGATGTCCTGGGGGCAGTGATACCCTCATATGCACTAGCAAAGGTCCAAGCGGTTTCTTTCTTCTCTTTGGTGTCTCCAAGTGCACGGTTGTCCAGCAGACCTACAAACAAGAGGACTGCAAGGCAGTGCTGAGCTCAAGGAAAAGATAGACCTCACCCAGGACTGGGACACACAATCCCTTTTTCTGAATCCCTCGCCTTTGTCCCCGCGTTGCACCATGTTTCCTACCTTCTGTTATCCTCCTCTCCCCCACAGAACGTCTTCTCCTTGAAGGAGCCTCTCCTCCCACCCCCACCCCCTCCGAATGTGACGCCACACCTGTTTCCTTGCAACAAACTGGATGGTGGTGGAGCAGAGCAGTATCTAGAAACCGCACAGGCATGAAATACATTAAAGTCTCAAACTTCGACACCCCCACATTCCGAAAGGTACCAAGACAGCTTCCTCCCCGCCAGCAATTACACCAACTTCACTGCTCGCAAGCAATTTCCTTTCTTTCTCATCCTGGCGCCCGGCTCCACCAAACCTAAACACTCACAAACTCTGGGACTGAGTGCTGGGCTGACAGACCAAGGCCCCTGGCACTATAGCTATACAACTGGAGTAACATCCTGCCCCCCACAGCCCAAGACGTCCTTGACAATCGCCCCCTCCCAACCATTTCCTTCCTGGTCTTGTGCCTGCACAGCGCTTTCCTTTGCAAGCTGCGAGACAGGGTAGAGAGGAGAGGAGGGAGATGCGGCCCATCCTCCACCCCAGGGGTCCCCAAACTGTGCCACCACCCTGACTCGGACCTACTTGGTTCTGCACAACGTTGGTCTCCTTCCGTCTCCGGGGGTTGCTTTGGCCTTCAGGCGCAAGAATGCGGACACAGGGGACGCCGCGGCGACGAGCGGTTCAGCTGGACCGAACAGCCCTTCGGAGAATCCCGGTACCAGCTTTTCCTAATGGAAAACCCGGTTGTCAAACAGATTTCGCCGTTTTGTCTCTCACTCTACCCCGACTTGCCTAGACTCCTCAGACACAAGTCCTTCTGCTACACGGCGTCTACCCGCGCCGACCCGCTTCCCTAGTTCCAGAGATCGGCCATTTTCCCAGAAAAAAAAAAAAAAAACAAAACACCCCTTTGGAACCACTGGAAAGAGGAGGGGCGGGGCGAGGGAGCAGGGAAAGCCAGAGGAGCGAAAGATCAAATGATCTCTTCAGTCGCCCTGCCTGAGGAACTGCTCCCCCTGTGACAACGGTTCTTCCTGTAGGGAAGAACCTTTTTCGTGCAGCCGGGACGTTGCTAGCGAGTCAGTAATGAGAACTCTAGGTAAGGTAAGGCCCACAGCCATCCCGACCCTCCGGAAACCGCGGGGCACTGACCTGCGAGACTCGAAGTAGATTATTCCTTTGCCCTGAACGGCACAGCCCCCGACTGAAAGACAAGGGGGAATGCCAGTCAGACGGTCGCACGGCCCCGAGATGAGCGCAGGGGAACCAGCACGTAGGACACGCATCCCGCTGCTGGCCCTTCCCGATTCAATGCCCTTAATGCCAAAGGTTCCCCCCTCCTAGTATGGGTTTCCTGCTGGCATCCAGTCCCCGAAGCACGCCGCAACTTTTATTCTAGGAAGGGCCGGGGAGAGTGCAAAGGTGTGGAGGAAGCAACAGCACATCGTGTCCCGCTTCGGTCTCCACCCTCGGTGGCCGCACCGCTGGGATCCCGGGCGGCGCCCCATCCACACACAGACCTGCTGGGATCCAGGCAGCGACCTCCTCTTCCTTCCCCTTGCCACAAATCCGGCCGCCCTCCAGGCGATGGGGAGACAGCAACGGGAGCAAACGAAGACCAGGACCAGAAGGCGGCGGCACTCGTCGGCTCCGGCTCACGTGAGGGCCACGTCACCCATGAGATCAGGACCCCAGTTACCACTCCCACCAGCAGTGCGGCAGGAGCCCTCCCCATTCTTTCCCTGCCACACCAGGTCCTGCCACTCATTTCCCCCAGAAGTCACTTCTTGAGGTTGCAATCTGCCTTTCTTTGCATGATAGGAACAGACTGCATCTGCTCCCACCTCCTTCAGTCTTTCCTTCCTCTTAGAGGAATTACTTTTTTTTTTTTTTTGCTTCTCTACTCCCAGTCCAACTGCCTCTCTTCACTTCTCTAGCCCCTCACTCCCAGCCCTCAACGGCCAACATTTCCCCCTGAACTCCCATCCCAATGGGAGGGTTGATCTCAGAAAAAGAGACAAGCAGTGAGGATGTCTGACTTCCTTAAACTTTTCTGTTCACTTTTTGAAAAAAATCAGCAATGTATTACTTAAATAATGGGAAAATAAAACTGGTGCTATTCTCATTTGACTGGGAAGAATTCAGGAGGGAGGGGAAACCCAAAAGGTCTCATTCATTTCATTATATTTATTTGTGAAAACAAGGACACTATTTCTACTGGGTTAATAGCCAAGCAGCAGCTTTCAAACATATGAACTTCTTTTAAAAAAATTGAAAACTGGAATTTTTTACAGGGTCTATGAATTAGTTCACAAAGAGATGGTCAATTGTCTAATCTTTGCCTTTTTTCACAAGTGATCCATTACCTTTTCTACTTTGGACCAACTTGTAATTTGATAAAATAAAAACAACAGAATCCTGTCTTGTTCATTCAAAGAAAAACATGTATGAGAGCACTTTTACAAATTCATGGAAATTGAACGAAAAGATGTTAATTTGGGTGCACAAAACTGAAATCCATGCACAGGCTTTTCATAAAATGTGAACTTTTTGAAGACGCCTGGTATTTAATGTCCCAAAGGCGTGGGTGACTACTTGCTCTGTGAATTGCATGTGATTTGATAGCTTCTCTGAACACTTGTCCTGGGTTAGATTCCATTTTACTAAGGCTCACACAGCTGAGGAAGGGAGGGATGCAAAGATGTTCTGATCCCTAATGAGACGTGCAGAAAGGGCTGCCCTTCCACCCCTCCCACTTCCCACAGCCTCCCATCCCCTGGAGTCAAGCACCTACCCATTATGCCCTCCAGAAACATGCACAGATGTGTGACCAACATGATAAATGCCGCCTTTACTCAGGCGGCCAACCTAAGGAAATACTCTCGGCTCCTTTCCTCCCTCCTTCAGTCCCACTAAGCTAACCCAGCAGTGCCTGGGTGCACGTTGCTCTGAACAATGTCTGCTGCTACCACTTGGCTGACCTGTACAGCCTGCTGGGCTTCTAACTCCTGGTTCTTTAATTCCAGGGCCCCCAGGAAGACTGAGCTTGTGGCCATATCACTGTCTGCCACTCCATATTCACTTTGTTGCCCCTCAGTCAAACAGCCAATCCCTATTGGCCACACTGTTTAACCTAGAGTGGGCATTCTCACTTGGCCAACTCTGTGGATCGCCTAAGACTGCATCAAACTTGTGTGCAAATACATGTTAGTTTTAGTGGGAGAGGAATCATAGCTCGCATCAGATTCTCATGGGCATTTATGTCTTTAAAAAACAACTAAGAACTACTTTCTTTTTTAAAAATTTATTTTATTTATTTGAAAGAGAGAGAGAGAGAGAGAGAGAGAGAGAGAGAGAATCTTCCATTCTGTTGGTTCACTCCCCAAATGATCGCAACAGCCAGAGCTGAGCTGATCCGAAGCCAGGAGCTTCCTCCAGGTCTTCCCATGCAGGCTCAGGGACCCAAGGACTTGGGCCATCTTCTACTGCTTTCTCAGACCATAGCAGAGAGCTGGATCGGAAGAGGAGCAGCCAGGACTCAAACGGGCACACATATGGGATGCCAGCCAGCACTGCAGGCTGGGGCTTTAACCCGCCATGCCACAGCGCCAGCTCCCTTCCATAGAATCAGTCTCTCTCTCTCTCTCCCTCTCTCTCTCTCTCTCTCCACATTCTTTTGAGGAAACCAGTGCAAACAATGTGAAAAATGTATACAATAGCATGTGAAAGTGCACTGCAATGGCTGTTCTACCACCAACCACTTTTAACAATTTCCAGTTTTCCTCGTGCAAGTGTAACGAGTATACACATGCAAACTTGTCGAGTTACTTGTTGAACAACACTATATAAGGGGACAGGAACTTCTTGATGTATCTGCATACAGAAAAAAAAATCGACATTCAGTGATGTATTTGTAATAAATCTGTACTTTAACCTGAGAACTGACATCTTATTTGAAAGGCAGTGTGTTTGTGTGCCCATGTGTGTGTGTGTATGTGTGTGTATGACAGAGAGAGAGAGAGAGATCTTCCATCCACCGGTTCATTCCCCGAATGCCCTCAACAGCCAGGGCTAGCCAAAGCCATGAGCTCAGAACTCCATCCGGTTCTCCTATGTGGGTGACAGCGACCCAAGCACATTAACAGGAAGCTGGATCTGAAGCATTGAGTAGTTGGCATGTGAACCAGGTATGTGGGCATTCCAAGTGGTGGCTTAACCCACTGTGCCATAATACCCACTCCCATAAGAACATTCTTTAAGGAAATGAGTCCTTTGATTGTCATAAGAATTATAAAATTTTTCCCACTTCATAATTTTCTTTAGACTTCTATTATGTAGTTTCTTTCATTTTTATGGCACAACATCTATCAATATTGTTCTCTACTTTTTTGGCTTATAGTTTCTTCTAATTTTACTGTTTTGTTTCATATCTAAATTTTTGGTTCACATGAAATTATTTTTTCACCAATGGTCATAAATTTTTTCAAAACATTAAAGAGAAGGGAATAAACACTCCCAAATTCATTCTACAAGGCTAGATACCAAAGCCAGATAAAAGACACAACAAGAAAGGAAAACAACTGATCAATATTACTTACAAATACAGACACAGAAATCCTCAAAAAATGCTTGCACATGTAAAAAGGATTATACACGACGGCCAAGGACCCCAGGAATATAAGGTTGGTTTAACATCTGAAAATTAATATAACATATTTGTAAAAATAAATATCAGATAATACAGTATCATCTTCATAGATACAGATCTGACAAAGCATCATGATAAAGATGCTTTATAAACAAAGAAGGAAAGTGAATTTCCTCAACTTGATAAAGGCGATCTATGGAAAACCCACAGCTAACACTAAACTTCACAGTGAAAGATAAAACAAGGATGTATGGCCTCACTACTTTCATTCACTAGTTTACTAGACTTTCTATCCAGGACAACTGGGGAAGAAATACTCATAAAACGCATCCTGATTGGAAAGGGGGAAAAAATCAAATGATCTTTATTTGCAGATAATGTAATCTTATATGTAGAAAATTCTAAAGAATCCAGAAAAAGCAATTAGAGCAAATAAACAACTTGAGCAAAGTTACAGGATGCTAGGATTAATGTATAACAATTATAGGGGGTGGTGCTGTGGCGCAGTAAGTTAAGGCTCTGCCTGCAGTGCCTGCATCCCATATGGACACCGGTTTGAGTCCTGGCTGTTCCACTTCCCATCTAGCTCTCTGCTATGGCCTGGGAAAGCAGTAGAAGATGGCCCAGGCACTTGGGTCCCAGCACCTGTGTGGGAGACCCGAAGAAGCTCTCAGCTCCTGGCTTCAGATTGGCGCAGCTCCAGCCGTTGCAGCCATTTGAGGAGTAAACCAGCAGATGGAAGACCTCTCTCTCTCTGTCTCTCCCTCTCACTGTCTGCAACTCTACCTCTCAAATACATAAATAAAATATTTTTAAAAATCAACTATAATTCTATAGACTAGCAATGAGCAATCAAAATATAGAATTAGGGAAACAATTCCATTTAAAACAGCATCATATGTATATATGATGGGCAGTTAATCTCCAAAATATATAGAGATCCTACAACTCAGTAGGAAAAAACACACACAACCTGATTTTAAATGGGTAGAAAACTTAACAGACATTTCTTCAAAGAAGACATACAAATGGAAAAACAAGTATACGATAAGGTGCTCAACATCACTGATCATTGGGGAAATACAAATCAAAGCCACAATTAAGTTTTTAAAAGATGTATTTATTTGAAAGTCAGAGTTACACAGATAGAGAAGGAGAGGAAGAGAGAGAGAGAGAGAGAGGTCTTCCATCGATGGTTCACTCCCCAGTTGGCCGCAATGCTGTGCCGATCCGAAGTCAGAAGCCAGGAGCTTCTCCGGGTCTCCCATGTGGGTGCAGGGGCCCAAGCACTTGGGCCATCTTCTACTGCTTTCCCAGGCCATAGCAGAGAGCCGGATGGGAAGTGGAGCAGCTGGGACTCGAACCGGCGCCCATATGGGTTGCTGGCACTGCAGGCGGTAGCTTTACCCGGTATGCCACAGTGCCAGCCCCAAAGCCACAATTAGATATCACCTCATACCTGTTAAGATGTCTACTATCGGAGCTGGTGCTGTGGCTCAGTGGGTTAAACCTTCGCCTACAGCGCCGGCATCCCATGTGGGTACTGGTTGTAGTCCCGGCTGCTCCTCTTCCAATCTAGCTCTCTGCTGGGCCTGGGAAAGCAGAGTGCTTGGGCCCCTGTACCCACGTGGGAGACCAGGAGGAAGCACCAACAGAAAGCAGGCCTTTCTTCTCTGTCTCTCCCTCTCACTGTCTGCAACTCTACCTCTCAAATACATAAATAAAATCTTAAAAAAAATATGGCTACTATCAGAAAGCAAAAGGATAAGAACTTTTTCTTCTTAGGGCCTATCTTTTATACCCTAATATTTTGTGCCTCTAATGTTTAGAGGTTCTTTGGTTTTTGACCATATTTATACTTAAAGTTCTTATTGGTAAGTATTGGTGGCTAGTGTGGTCTTCCACAACAGTTATGAAATTCAGTCTTCTCCTTTAAGTCTCATCCTTAAATATGATGGATCACTTCAGAACTCCATGAAAAGTTTTTTCTCTGGTTGAGGTGTATAGGTGGAAATGTATCCATGTGTGGAATAAGGTCTTTAATGGGGAACAAGCCCCCTC